CGCGGCTCAGACACATCCCAGTGCCAGCAGCAGCCAGAGGTGACGCTAGGTAACAGGCGGCCAACCCTTGTCCTTGACGCAATTTTGCTCAAAATAAAGATTGTGGAGTGCTCAATTCATCGGAACATCCACGCCAAACAGCTCCCAGGTGCTGCCGGATGGCTTCCATCGCTTCAGAACGCGCAAGTCGAGTCTGGTGATGCCATCACTGCGAGAGCCATTGGCCAGCTCTCCCTGCCCGCGACCACTGGTCGTGTCTCTCCCAATGGCAGCATGTACCTGGAGACCGGGGCTCTTCATTCTCGCCTAGCCTTCTTCTGTTCCAATATCACCGACCGACAGACAAGACAGACAGTACAGTGCGGAGCACCAGACCCGGTGCCTTTGGGTCCACCCGACCCTGTCGTAGGTGGCGCGCCCTGGCCGCTGGTGAAACAGGAGCTGCTTTCCCCTGCCCACTCAGCGAGTCCCGGCCTGGCTAACCTTGCGATATGGCACGCTAACGAGCTTCACGGCCACAGATCACACCAGGTTCGAATGTCGATGGAAGCCTTCACAGACTGCTTGCTGACACCGCTTGGTGCTATCATTCTGGTCGAAGTGTGCAGTAATAGAGAAGAATGATGGTGGATTTGAAAGAAAGGGGGGGTAGACGAAGTCGAGAGAGAATGCTTACCAATTCATTGCTGTTGTCTTGGAAATAAGATCGTGTTTGGCTGAGGGTCGCCATTGTAGCAGTTCAAAACACCAGTTTGGGGCTTCGAGGATACTAATACTAAGCATGGTCAGATCAGTGAAGCCTATCTTGGGTTCCGGGAAGTGAGAATTGTGGCTTGGAAATGTTGATTGGGTGTCTCAAATGCATGTAGACAAGAAACTTGGCTACCTTCAGGCGTGCACTGTTCAAGGGTTATACTATTCCAAGCTCATACAAGGACAAAGCCGCAGGCTAGATCATCCGGTAAAAGAGTTGTGGAAGGACTGCTATATCTGGCGTTCTGGATATTGCTGATTAGCAAGATCAGCTCAACCACCGCCTTTTCCCGTTCTCTCTTCCTGCTCTTCCTCTTTACTTTCTTTCTCCTCTTTCTTCATTCCCTTTCTCTCCTATCCGGTTTCCCTTTTTAGAGGACGCGGAGACGGCGAGTCGGACAAGTCCAGTGCAGATGACAGTCCGAAATACCAAGGGGTTCAGATAGCTCTGTGGAAACAGGAAGCGTGGCTGACGCAGACAGTATTGTTCTCAACCCACTCCAATCAAAATCCGCTTTGGGCAAGAGAGTGATGGGGTCAAGTGAGAATAAGAGAGTAGCTGTGTTGATGAAAAGTAGGAAGCGGTACTCACTTTGCAGACAAAAAGCTTCCAATATTCGACCTGCTGCCGATTGTCAAGCCACAGCACGAAAGCTACCGCCAATTGGTAAACAATGCTTCGCACGTGCAAAGCCACATCCGTCTCAGATGGATTGCGATAGTAGTAGTACTAGTTATCTCGACCGCCAAAGTCGAAACGCGGCGGCACAGCTGCGTCGTGGCAACTGGTTAGGAGAGCAAAAGCTTCGACTACCTAATAAGAGACAAGTCTCCTGCAGGCGTTTCGCTCTGGTGCTAGGTTCCGCAGTAGGTGCTACTCGACTCGTTACATTAGTTCATGCAAGGATATTGCGGCATCCCATCAGTGACGCTCGTGGCATTGCGAACATACTGCAGCAGACCAGAGTACTCGTAGAGAAACCGATGGCGGGTATCGCACAGGTTCTCGTGCCGGGCTAACGATTGAGAATAGAGGCTGGTGTCTTGGAATGTCTTGATGTAGGAAGCAATAGGATCCGGCATGGAATCGCGCCGAGTAGATATACGTCAAATGAAGAGGATGGAGGGGAACAAGCGAAACCGGGATACGCTCAATCACGAAGGAAATTCGAGGCGATCATCCTATGCACACGACATAGCAGTAGCTCGAAAAGGATAAGGACAGGAGATAATAAGAGATTGCAATACAGGAAAGGCACTACCTACGACTTCCCGTCAGTACCTAGGCTGCTCGGAGGAGGTGCTAAGAAAACTGCCAAAGAAGAAATGCAGGTACATGTACACACCTGCTCTGTGGGACCGCGCGCGTGTACCGGTACGGACAGAACGTCCAGGAGGTACAAAGTAGCTCCGAGACTTCTCGCTGCTCGTAGATGCTGGCCCCTTTTACCCTGGGGGGCGGGCGCTTCCGAGGCATCGGCACTCAAAGCTCGACTTGACCCAGCAGGGGTGCTTTCCAACCTGGGGAGCTTTGGCGATGCTAGGTCATACAGGGCAGACCGGTTACCAAGCCGTGTGTGCAAGACGGTAGAAGAGCTCTCCAAGCAGTGCCTGGACACGTTGGTCAATGAATTTCTCTTCTCCAAAGAAGTAGACCAACCCAACAAGCAATGGTGCCCGCTCCTACCAACGGCCCTACCAACGGCCCACGGGAAATGAGAACTCAAGGCAGTACCTACTCCGTACCCTTTAGGCGCTCTCCAAAAGAAGCACCACAACAACGTGCTAGCAGTACTTGTAGTACTCCGTAGATTTCCAGAGGTGTTTCTTCAGGCTACATGTAGTGGAGCGCGCAACCCATCCCTGGAAAAACACCTGCCAAATGGTTAGCGGCCTCGGTCAGCACTAAACCCTTGCACGGCGCGGCAAGATGCTTGCAAGTCAAGAGATGCAGCTGTCCGGTTTTGGTAGCGCCTCATAACGGGCCACAGTACCACCACTCCGAGCTAGAGATCGCGCGGTTGTTGCTCTGTGGCGATATGCTATATTAATAACTTGGAAAGCGCCCAGTACCTACTGTATGTGCAGGTAAACAACGGCATGGTAGTAATGCTGGAATAAAGTCGTGGGCTCAACTCGGTTTGCGAGGCGTTACGCAAAGCGAGGCTCTGTCGAGAATAGAAACTGTTCTGCGTCAGCCCATCTGCT